GGGCAAATAGATTATAGAAAAAAAAAATTGTCCTGGAGTCATTGCTGAAGTCATGTCGTCAAACCTGTTGAAGATCAGATAGAACTCGTTGAACAGGCCTCCTTCTAAACCTCTTCCCTTTTACCTGCACTCCCATCAGTAAGAATGTTCAACACCCACAACAGCTGCTCAGTGATAAACTTTACTGACAACACATAGTAGCCAGGCATGCTGTGCAACATTTAGTACTCTGGGATGTTTGAAGTGCGAAACTTTTGAGCAGCTAGAAGTTAAAAGGACAACGGTAACATTAATAACTACCATATTTTGCAGGAAAATGTATTGGACACATGTGGGTGGAGTGAAAATAATGTTTACATAGAAGAATAAATTAATATCATGCATACATTTTTCTCTCCCAAGGTTTAACTCATGGATTATGAGCCGATCATCTTTTTGCTCACAGGTGGGTGCCTCTTTGTTTCAGTGTTAAAACTATAGCAGTCTTCATGCAGTGCTGAATAAAGGTATTTTTTTGTTGGTTGGAATCACTGTGTGGAATGGAGACAAGTTAGGAATATTTCAAAAGTTTAATATTTGACTATAAATAAATGACAACTTCTGACAGGTGTAAATTAATCACAAGGCTTCTTAGTATATGAATAGTATAAGTAAATTGTTCTTTCCTTGAAAAGTTGATGTTTACTGTTTGTAAAACATCAAAATGATGACGCTGAATCCTCCTGTTGATCCTGATGCCTCTTCATATTGACTGTAAAAGAACTTAAAGTTGTCGTAATTAAAAATAAAATGGAGTAACTGAATTTGCTTTTGTGACTCTGTTTTAGGAGCACTGTTCAGTATTACTTCTGCCCAGACACACCAGTACCACTTTGTGAACGTGGCACTGAACTGGACTGAAGCTCAGAGCTTCTGCAGACAGATCCACACAGACCTGGCCACCATAGAAAACACAGCGGACATCAGTGCTGTTAACTTAACAACATCGAGCTACGCAGGCAAGTTCTCAATACTGGAATTTGCCTCAGGCAGTTGTAAAAGACTATAATGTGTAATGTGATTAAGTAGTGAATGAGTTCAGCATTTGTAAGGATTTCTCTCATTGCAGCTGTTCTGTAAAATGTGCATCTTTTTGAACAGGCCAGGCTTGGATTGGTCTCCATGATGATTTGGTAAGCAGCTGGAGATGGTCCCTAAATAACAGCAGCTTCTATGGTGAAGGAGAGCCAGAGTTTAGAAACTGGGATTCTGAACAGCCTGATAATCTTGGTGGACAACAGTACTGCGTGGAATTATTTGGTCAACGGATCCGCATGGGCAAATGGGGAGACCTTGACTGCAACGTCACACGACCCTTTGTGTGTTATAATGGTGAGAACATTTAACAAAAGGACCACATGCATAGATCTCCTTCATTGCATTTACACAAAGATTTTGTCGCTCCATGTGTTTGTTATCTGGATAAAATATCCCACTGAATCTACATCATCGGGTATTCTGATTGTCTGTCACTGATGCTCATGTATCGCTTTGTAATTTCCCTTCATCCTTGTATTTCCAGGCATGGTAAACGGCGCACCATCCTTTGTCAGGGTTAGCAGGTCTTTGAATTGGGCCGCAGCTCAGAAATTCTGCAGGGAGAATTATGTTGATCTAGCCAGGTACAGTATGCACTAATGAAGAATAATTAACTATTTGCTTGTTTTGATTCGCTCTGTTTATCAGGAGTGTTCATTAGCATGATAGTTGATTGAAATTACATTACAAATCTGGATCTAGTGGATTTTACTGTGGTTTCATAAGGCGACTGTTTCGGCTTTGGAGAATGTATACACCTGACTGAGTGCCATTCTAGTTTTTATCTTTATTCCATTTTCTTTATTCCATTTTAACTCTCTAATCTTGTGTCTACTAATGTATTATGATTATTTCTACATTTATTTTTTTATTTTCAAATTGTTTTCCTTACAAGTTATGCATTTTTCATCCTTATTTAAGGCAAGTAAAGCATTTAGAGCTGAGCTGTAGAGTAATTATGTTTCAATTATTTTAAATAGTCTCAGTAAAATGTACTTACATGATTGAACACATTACCACTTCCTTACATAACCACACAAAGCACTATATTTCCAGTTACAATGCATTTCAGGATGCTATTGATTTTAGGGAGTTTAGGGATTTTATCTGTTCTTATTAGTTATGCTCAATTTAATATATATAGCTGCTGTTTGTTTCCCAGTATAAGGAATGAAACAGAAAATGCCATTGTCACAAGCACAACTCCTGGGACCTCCGTGTGGATCGGTCTACACCGGGAAAAAGTGTGGTCTGACGGGAGCACCTCTCAGTTTCGACACTGGGCTAGTGGGCAACCAAACTCTGCTGGAGCCCAATGTGTTGCCGCAGCATTCAATGAATCAGGACGATGGATGGATCATGATTGTTCCTTCAGGATCCCATTCATCTGTTTCTCAACAAGTAATGCATCTTATTTATACTGTCACATGCTGCATAGACAGGACTGAATGCTATTTACTGTACAGTCTTAAATATTTATTCCTAGTCTACAAATTGGGAATTTGTGAAGCCAAGTTTGTAAAAATGAATCAAAACCAGAAACTGGAGTTCTGTCATTTTACGTCTCTTCTGCCCGGAGTAAATGCTCGTCAGAAGGCTTAATGCAGCAAATCATTTCTGAACCCAGATCTACCAAATGCAGACGGCTTCAGATCAACCGGACAAAATGACACCAGTGTCACTCTGCAGTGGAATAAAGTGAACAACAGTGTCAGCTTCATTCTGCAGTTTAATGGTAGAGAGATAAACATCAGTGCAGCAGGTGGAGATGGACCAGTGACTCACACAGTCTCATCCCTCACTGCTGGAACTACATACACCATCACTCTCTTCTCTGTGTTTGAGAACGTCAGAAGCAGTGGAGTCAACATCACTGCAGTCACTGGTGAGATATTTCACTTTTTTAGTCAATAATGTGTCCACAACAGTTTTGCTCTGTTTTAACTAGAAACACATGTAAACACACCTGATGGCGAAACACATGATGAATTCCTGGTGAATCAGAGACACAGATTTATTTCAATATCATTAGTTTTAAAGGAGCTTCCAGTGTGGCAGCAGCCACCAACCAGAGAGCAACAGAAGCAGCAGTTCGCACAAACTGTGACTCAATAATAACACAATGTGCATGAAAGCAACAGTAAAGCACTTTCAGATCAATAACACTACAGGTAAATGAAGTTGAACATTAGAGAGCAGCAGTGATAGAACCTGAGTGGGAGCATATGAAGTGTGGTGTGGAAACCTAAAAGGTCAGCTCTGCTGTGAGTATGTGTGTAGATGGTGCTCAGTAACATCTACCAATGAGAAGCTGGGTTTAGTGGCTCAAATGACCTCATGTCTGAACTTTGAACTGACTCTGATGCTCATACACAATGTAAAACTGACCAATATAAACAACACTCCGATTTTATTACATTAATGAATTAACTTTTCTGCTCTTTTCTGTCTCAGCTCCTCTAAACACAGACAGCTTCAGATCAACCGCACAAAATTACACCAGTGTCACTCTGCAGTGGAATGAAGTGAACAACAGTGTCAGCTTCATTCTCCAGTTTAATGGTAGAGAGATAAACATCAGTGCAGCAGGTGGAGGTGGGTCAGTGACTCACACAGTCTCATCCCTCACTGCTGGAACTACATACACATTCACTCTCTTCTCTGTGTTTGAGAACGTCAGAAGCAGTGGAGTCAACATCACTGCAGTCACTGGTGAGATATTCCACTTTTTCATGTTAATTATTACATCATGTTTCTGTAAGGTTCAGTTTGTAGGGTTTAGTGACATCTAGAGGTGAAGCTGTGTGTTGCAGCTGAATACTCCTCATCTCCCATTTCCAACATGAAAGAGAACCTGTGGTGAACTTCACACTCAGAAGGTTCATACAATGTAGATGAAACACACCATTGAAAACATCACTAGCATTATTTTATATTTAATTTCTGCCAAAAATCCCTGTCACCTAAATCTTACACACTGAACCTTTAATGCTCTGATCTATAGCATCTGCCTTGCAAAGTTTTATATGGATGCAATATAATACTTTATAAAACATTTAAAAAATGTTGCTTTCAAATGTAGACTCTGTTTATTTGAAATTCCATCCCTGTGCATTGACATGCATTGAAATTGAAAGTCTGACATATAGTACTACCAACAATTTTTTGAAAATAATTCATAAAAAAGATTTTTCTTCCCTTCAGTATTATAAGAAATGGCTTTTGAACTAGTGTGTTGCAGCTATCGGCTGCTACAGTTTTCATTTCATGGAATTTAGGTTTTATATAAAGTAAAGACACATTTATCTTTGTGTAATAGATTTTTATAGTATTTGATCAATATTAAGATATTAACTTATCTGAACATATCTTTCTCGCCATTTTCCCAAAAAATGACTGTGACTCTACATCCTACAACAAAAGGGCCTCGTAAGTAAATGTATTTGTTTCTTTGATTCCACTTTTCTGAACTTTTGCTCTGAGTGCCCAGTTGATAAACGTATTCTTATTAGCTTAATTCTTATTGATATTTTAATACTATACAACTACTATATTCTATATCGTCATGGTATTGTCTTCAGTAACACATTGTGTATTTATGTCAACAGATTATGTTATTGGGTTGAACATGAACTTGAAGTCATTGATTGAGCTGTCGGAGTGGGACATAGAGCATGCAGTGTTGGAGGTGAGACTAACAGCTGTTTATTCTTTGTCATGTGTTGTGTGTATTTCGTTTTAATTAAAATACTCTTCAAACTAATTTTTTCATTGTGTCCAGCTCCTCAGACAATTTGGATTGCCAGAGTCGTCTGTGAAGGTTCGGTGGCCGTTAAAAAATGAGACCAAGTGGAGGAAGGAAAAGATGGAGGATGGTTCTGCACAGTAAAAGCTTATTGTCATTTTAAATAGGCTTTTCTAGGATTTTAGAGATGCTGTGATGGTTGAGGATTTTTTTGACTATGTTTTACTTTACACACTTCATGTAGATGTTATAGTCTCAGGGCTCATTCTCAAAACCATGCGTATTGTAGGATGGGAATATATCCCTGTATAGAATGGGTTATAGCTTTGTGAATTTCTGTTTATGTTACACTATTTTGATGATGTGTGTGAAGATATGCACTGTAATGTATTCCTTGAAATAAAGGAGTGGTGAAATGGTGAATGTGACTGACCTTTATTCAGGTACGTCCTTGTTTTCGCTCAATGCATTTCAACAACATGCCACAAAGAAATGCTGGACAATACAAACCCAGTTAAGCTAAAGCTTTTCTCCTCCCACATTGGAGCAGCGTGGTGGTTAAGCTCCGGAGGGGGGTAAAGTCCCAGAGGGAGTGGTAGCAGCAAAATGAGGAGGACTCCGGCTTTGTCCCGGTGTTTGCCTCAGAGGTCAACTTTCACCTCGAGCAATAAGGTAAGACCAAGAAAGACAAATGAATGTTGAAGCATTTTGATTAAACCAAACAAAGTCATTATATTGATGTTTCTGCTATGTCTTGTGCCAGACCACAGACTGTGTGCAATCCAGGTAGACTAAGGATGATTTAAGGAGGGAGTCATATTTGAACTCATTAGATTGTATTTCCTTGTGGGGCGTGTTGTGAATTATTTGAGCCTGGTACATTTAAGACATGCAGGATGCATAGATGGAAAGGAGCATGCATGTTAGCTTTTGGATTTTAAAGAATGTTTTCAGTTCTTGATTGAAGCTGAGAGTTCCTGAGAATGAGTGAGAAGCTGACTCATGACTGGGCCACTGGACTTTGGCCACAGGGCAGGTGTGAATTGTTTCAAGTTAATGATAAGGGAGTACAGATGGTTGTAACTGGAACAAAATTACTTTTAATGCCTGCATTAACAACAGAGAACAAAAGCTCTGAAAGATTCTGTGCTCTGTAATGTATGTTTTATGAATATCTTTTTTAAAAGGTGATTGACATATGACATATCTGTCTTAATCTCTCAGGTCATGGCTTCCCCCAGCATCCTCCTGTCAGACATGCAGTTTCAGTGTTGCATCTGTCAGGATGTTTTCTCTGAGCCAGTCTCCATCCCCTGTGGTCACAGCTTCTGCTTCACCTGCATCACGTCACAGTGGGAAGACAGCGTTGCCGTCAGCTGTCCCAAATGTCAGACGGCCTTCGAGGGACGTCCTGAGCTTTGTGAGAACTATTTCGCCAAGGAAATGTGTGAGCAGATTCGAGCAAGAAGGCAGAAGGGCATCATGTCAACGGTGGGGAAAACCATACATTGTGATGTGTGCGTCGGGAAGCAAACAAAGGCCTTGAAGTCCTGCCTCGTGTGTCTGACTTCATATTGTGAGAGTCACCTGGAGCCTCACCTGAGAGTCTCCACCTTGAAGCTTCACACACTGATTGAACCTGTTGCACTGCTGGAGAACAGGATGTGTAAACGTCACCAAAGGCTTCTGGAGCTGTACTGCAGGAGTGACCAGAGGTGTGTGTGCGTCCTTTGCACTGAGACCGACCACCGCTGTCATGACACCGTCCCAATAGAGCGAGAGAGTCGGGAGAAGAAGGTGAGGCCCTGACCGCCTCATTATCATTTTCATTTTGGCCCATCATAGACTGTGGCTGTGTTTCTGACGGTGATTCCAGATTTAATTTTGATCTTGTTGTGATATTCAGGCTCAGATGAAAAGGAATGAGGTTGATGTTCAGCAGATGATCCAGGACAGGCTGCAGAAAGTGAAGGAGATCAAACACTGTGTGGAGCTCAGAAAAGTGAGTTGACATCAAAAGATGGAACTAATTCATTCATTCGCAGCAGTTAAATTAGCCTAGCCCTTTGCCCTTATTGTCTGCAGGAAAACTCAAACAGGGACATTGAGGAAAGCACGGAGGTCTTCTCTGCTCTGTTTCGTTTAATGGAGAGAAGCCAGGCTGAGCTGGTGGACGCGATCCAGAAGAAGCAGATGGCGGCAGAGCAGAGGGCAGCCAGACTCATCACAGAGCTGGAGCTGCAAATCACTGAGCTGGAGAGGAGGAGAAGTGAGATGGAGCAGCTTTCTCACTCAGAGGACCACCTCCGTCTTCTGCAGGTCAGGAGTCGACTCCCAGCGGTTTGATGAATATTTGCCTGAAAACATATTAGGATATATAAGAAGTTGAATTGGAGAAGGATAATTTTCATAGTTTTGCTTTTAGTTCTTGTGACAAATGTTCGGGCAATTCTTTTTACATTCATGTTGATAGAGAAATATAGCAGGAAACAGTTGGCAGTATGAAGTCAAATGGGATCGTTTCCTGTCATATTGCCCAGTCTTATCTCTGCTTTAAAGCCAGTTCTCTCTTATTTGACTCATAATGTCAGAGGTTTCCAGCTCTGAGTCCCTCTGCCAAATCCTGCTCGGACATCATCCTCCATTCACACACATGTTTGGGGGATGTAAGGAGAGCTCTGGCCAAAACTGAGGAGCAGCTTCTTTTGGCTTTGAAAAAGATTACCGTTCAAGGTTGGCTTCTCCAAAGATTCCTCGATCTTCTGCGAACAGCACAATAAGCAGAAATATTTGTCTCATTTTGTCTGATATATTCTTCTTTACTTACAGAGCACGAGAAGATCAAACAGTATGCAGGTACAGTTTGACAGTAAAGCAAAGTCAGAGAGATTCTCACACATCTTTCATCTGTCAGTGTTCCATCTTTTGACGTGTTTCTCAATAAAACCGGTGTCAATTATTATCAGTATATGAGCTGCCTTCGTAACAGTGAGAAACTGATTTAACATTGATGTAAACTGTGTATGTCAACAGCTGATGTTCGCCTGGACCCTCGGACAGCCAACCCTTGGCTGGTTCTATCGGAGGATAGGAGACAGGTCTGGGATGGAGATGTTGAAAAGAATCTGATGGCCATACCAGAGCGTTTTGACACAGCCCGATGTGTCCTCGCCTCTCAGGTAAATAAATTGGTTGTTTGGATATTTCTCCCTGTAGGAATGTTTCGTCTTTGTGTTTCGCTCTGAGAAATAATTTGAAACCCTCTTGCTACGCAGGGTTTCACCACAGGGAGGCACTACTGGGAGGTGGATGTTGGAGTTAAGACAGCGTGGGACTTGGGTGTAGCTCAGCAGTCAGTCAACAGGAGAGGTGTGGTGACACTCTGCCCGGAGGACGGCTACTGGACTGTTTGTCTGAGGAAGGGCAGCGAGTATCGGGCATGTGCAGGACAGGCAGAACTGTTGTGTGTCTCTCAGAGGTTGCAGGTCATAGGCGTGTTTTTAGATTACGAGGATGGGACAGTGTCATTTTATGATGCAGAGGCCAAGTCTCACATCTATTCCTTTACACAGTTTCAATTCACAAAGGCCATGTTTCCCTTTTTTAACCCAGAAATGAGTGACAGCGCCAACAAGAAATCACCACTCATCATCCGTTCTGTCAGTGGAGTCAAGGGAGGCCACGATTTCGATAACTTTACAATATGATGTTCCTGTTTTCATCCTGAGGTTTTTCTGTTTTAAAGAGCATAAAACTTTTTTCTGTGTCATCTCACACAGTTTGCTTCCATTTCTGGACTTTAAAAAACTCTCCTTTGATAACTCGTACAGAGATATAAGTCATACTCTTTATTGACATTTGATGTTTCATTCACAGAAAATAATACTTTCACACTTGGATTATACATGTCTGATTTCTATCTTCTCTCTATCCCTCTAACAATAAACTTTAAAGTTTGCTCTTGTATATGTCTCATCTCCTCCTCCTTATTCATCTTCCCTTCACTTGTGCTCTTTAAGAAATTTGAACACAGATCATAGACCTGCTGCTTTCAAATAATACCTACTTGTAGTTTGTACAGGCCACATACTAGAACCTGACTGGTGCTAATCAGATTAGTGCAGGGGCGAGATTATCCTCGGCACAGATGGAGCACTGAGATAGACTTCAAGACTGAGGGTTGGGAGAAGGAATTGTGCCCACCTCTCTTGATTCACAGGTATGCATGCATGCACACAAACATAAGATCACTGCTAGATATCAGTTAACACTGGTGTGAATTGCTGAACACATTTCATTCAGGACGTATGTCGTTAAAGACGAAGCTAATAGGGATGTGAAAGAAGAGGGGAGGAAGGGATGAAGAGGGATTAAATCTGATATCATCCAAGCACAGGGCGAGGACACTACATGAAGAAACAGATTACAATGGACACCAGACTGGAGCAGACACATTTCTTTACTGAAGGTAAACTACTTTGGAGGGTCAGCAAACACGGGTAAGTCAAATGTTTAATTGCCATCGGTTTCAGTACTGTTGTATTATACTGCAGGAGGGAAAAGATAATGTACCACTGTTCACACAGCATAACTGTATATCAGAGAAGCCCAGGGGATTGTCAACATATGCTGAAGATGTCTTTAAAATGTATAGTCAAGATAAAACTGTTGGGGATGAGAGGTATTCCAGGGTTGAAGAGGTTATACAAAGTCAGATCTCAGTGTGTGTGTAATGGAAAGAATTTCTTCCAGCACCACGGTGATGAAAACTAGACCTAGAAGAGTGCAGGGGGGTGCTTTATCTCGCCATGTTCAAGTTTATGCATATCCACTATTAACTGTATAGGCTTCTTCTTTGGGCCACCCCTCCACAAAGTTGAATGGTAATTGGTTCTGCAGTTTTTGTGTAATGCTTGGAAAGGAGGGCTCTCTCATTATCAAAAGGAATGTGAACATTTTTTTAATTTAACTGGTCACAAGGTAGAATTCTTTTTGACTGTATCTTAGATATAAAGACCTGGGTGTCACAGAATGTTTTACAGCTTAACCAGGACAAAACAGAAATACTGATCATTGGATCAAATACTCAGAGACAGAGACTGGCCTCAAAAGTAAACACTCTGGACTCAGCCCAAGCCTGGAGGCAAGAAATGATTTTTGACACAAAAACAGAATTTTATCATCTGAAGAAATTTTCCAAAGTGAGGCCATTTCTTCTGTCTGATAGACCAATAAACATGACAAACCAGCTACGGATGATTCAAAATTCTGCTGCATGAGTGCTGACTAGGACCAACAGGAGAGAAATACTGGTCCCTTCACTGGGTGCCAGTTCATCTTCGTATTGATTTTAACAGAATTCTTTTCCATCCACTTGGCAGTGTGTAACTTCTCCTGCATGGAGGCCAGTGAACC